AAAAAAAAAAGGTAAAAGAAAAAAAATATCGAAAAACTCATAAAAAAAAAGAATGGAGAGAAAGACGATGAAGAGAATTGTGCTATTTTATATGTTACTTTAGATACATTTTGTGAAGTTAGACAGTCAAAGTGGCTTCTTTTTGGTTGAGCTTCACTTATGAAGAGTTTGTATGATTGTTTTGATTCCCATAGCCTAATATATCCTTTTATCCCACCTTACCTAAGCCCCATTACAATCCATTTAAAACCTTCTATATTGTGTATTCATATTGATTCTTAGGTGGACAAGCGTGATATATATGCAAGCTTATAGTAAAATCCTTCATTGTCTTGACTTGAGCGTACACTTAATATATATAGCCTATACACATTCGAGCGTTGAGTGCATCTTGTGAGAAGTTGTCGAATCTCATGTGTTGTAAGTTATTTGATTGTTGAGGTGATTATGCATTGATGTTGGTTGTTGAGGATTCTTTCTTAAGCTATAGTTCTGATGTGTGCAAAATAGTTTTGTGTTGGTAACGAATGATAGATATGATTATGAAATGAGACATGAATTTGACTTGATGCTTGAGGACAAACATCATTTAAGTGTGGGGTGATTTGATAAGTCGTATTCTTGACATGTTAATTGTCCTGTTTTCCATACTTTTTCGGTGTTTGTTTGAGCTTAATTATTGATTTTAATTGATTTTTATATTTTTTTTAGGATATATCGGAATTTTGAATTTTATGATGATTGGAGGACAAAAGAGACGAATTTGTGTTAGGGCGTGGGCACGCTAATTTTCTACGAGAGTTGGAAGAAGGAAGAAGTCTTGAATAGGAAAGAGAAATAAAAGACTATGGAGTATTTGTTTATCTATGGACTATTTTATTTTATTAGGATATTTTGGAGAGAGAATGATCTCTTTATTATTTTCTACGTACTTTCTGCTAGGATTAGGATTAGACTGGTTTGATTAAAAACCAGACTGCCGATTTTATTTCTATTTTTTTTTTCTTCTCTTTTTTCTCTTCTTCCCCTCTACGACGCATGCCCCCTCTATTCTCTTCTTCTCTTCTTTTCTTTTCTTTTATTTAATCATGAATAATCGGGAGAAGACTCCCATGTTTATGGGTAGCTAATTTATTTTTTCAGCCAAAGGATTATTCTAGACTTAGTTCATGAATTGTGAGGTCTAATTGAATTTATATTCCCTACTTCTCTTTTATTTATATATCTCTCGTGATTATTACCAATTGTGTTTTGATTGTTTATGCAAACTGGCCATTTGTTTGATTGTTGAAACGCATATCGTTATTTAGAATGGTTAAATCCGTAATTGTTTGACTGTTCTAATATTTGTGGCAAATAGCATAGTTGACTACTAAGGGTTTTCAATTGTCTGCTTAGGGAGATATATGATCTAGTCTAAATGATCCTACATGTGTGTTTGTTAGCTAGAATTGGGGGTTCTTCTAGATCTTATTGTTGTTGATAGATTAAATCTTATGATCGTATCTAGGGTTGTCTATTGATTAGAGAAATAGTTTGAGATCATATCCTGATTATCGAACAAGTAAGGAAGGATAGGTTGTTAGGTCGTAGCAATAACCATAACCAGTTTAATCGAAAGTAGGAGAATTATCTTTGCATCCATGATCGAATCGTTAAACCATTTCTACGAGTTTTTCCTTTGGTTGGATATTTTCTATATTTTGAATCACTCGTTTTATTTTCTTCTCTAGTTAGATTTTATTTTGTATTAGTTTTCGTAGTTAGATAAAATCTCCAAATCCCCATCATTTTTATTTTTATTTCTTTCACGAATAGTTGCATCGATACACTGTCTAGCCAATCCCTGCGGGTACGACCCTGCTTACTACTACTACAGTTATTTTATATGCAGGAATTTATTATTGTTGGATTCGACACCCATCATAGTTGTTGATCTTTTCGGCACACGGACATTCTTTCCAACATCTCCCTCATCGTCATCCGAAATGATGTGTAGTTCAACAGGAGGCACATATGGTTGCTCAATATGGAACAAGGCTTTCAAATCTGCCCAACTTGGATCTCCTTTCTCAAAATATGCCAGAGTAAATTCTTCCCACTATCAACATGATAAAATAACCGTTACTTTTCAGCAAGAAACAATTTGTAGGTACAAAAAGTGAAAAAAATATGAACTAGACATACAGTTATGTCTATGTAACTTACCCGAAATAATTCATACCATGTATTGTCTGATGCGTGCAGCATGTTTGTTTCCTCGTCATAACGAACGTCATGCTTACGTATTAGAGTTGAAAAAGTGTTGTGCTTTTTCAACAGAATTTCTAAAAAATACTTCATATATGAAACCGTGAAATTCTTACCAAAAGAGGCATTGATCCTCTTTGTGGTTGTAGCCAAGGACTCCTCATTCGAAGAATGAGGGACGAATGCACCAATCGATTTTTCATCAAGCAAGATGTCTATAAAGGATGTGTCCATACCTAGTGTCCATTCGAGATCATAGAAATAGTCTTCTTGAACAACACCAAACTTGGGGGCCATTTTCAAGAAAATTAATAAACTTGTTCTTGCCCTGCGAGTGAAGAGTGACTTTATCTTATCTCAGTAGTTTTTTATATCTATTACTAATGAATTATATAAGATGTAAACAAGTTGAATCTGAACAAATTTAGAGTTGACATGATGATGGTAGATATTTACCCACCATTCATTTATTACACATTAAATTTGGGCATTAATTGATCCCTCTACAGTCTACACACAAGAATAAATAAATACATTCTCATTTCTCCATAATTTATGTTGCATGATGTTACATCTTACTAAAGTAACTGACCACCATTATGAGACAAACTTAAATGAACTTCATTTTGAATATGCAACAAGACAACTACCAGTACATGTCAAATCCAAATCCTTTGAATTTTTTCAGCCAAATCTTAATCAAGATTTGGCATGTCAGGTGAATTTATTTGCATAAAATTTAAAAGAAGATATTAAAAGCTATTAACAGAAACCAGGAATACCAACATGCTTATTCTGGTAACAAGTCAGAAAATTGTATATTCATCATCAAATAACTCTCTTGTGCAATCTTCAACATAAAAATGTGGTGCATGCTTAATTTCACAACTCCAGTGAACGAGATATCCCAATTACTAATAGTTTCACAACAAAGACCAAATGTCAGAGAGTTCTAAGTATAAAAGTTGAAACCTCCATATTGATGAATATACATACACAACGTTAAATTGCTAGCAATATCTATTATATATATACAGAAGATGGAAATATGTTGCAATTTTAACTGACTATAATGAAATATATGATCACACAGTAAAAGAAATGAAAGCTAGAGCTTCATAAATCAGGATTCGGTAGTCAATTACATAGGATGTTCTGAAATGCGTTAAACGCTCAAAATAGTACATCCAAATTACATGTAGCCGACCAATTTTAAGAAGATGCGATGATAACAAATAATAAACACTTAAATCCTAATAGTCCGTACACAATTCATTCTCGCATTTACCTTAATCATCCAGTATTGGAGGGGGCTTCTCTCGCGATGAGCGGACCAGAGCACCACCTGCCGCATCATCATCAGTCCGTCCCGGGTGAGAGTTACTTTGCGTTCCCCCATCACTTGGTTGCACACATGGATTGCGTGGGCGGTACCATTTAGGTGGGTTCCCGTCCTCTTCGAAGAGTGCCCGTAGATCTTCTCAGAGTGGGTCTCTCATTAATTCGTACGCATAGCAGAAGGGTTCGACCTGTATTCGAAGATGTGAAAAGTTATAAATAATGCTCAGACAACCGCAACTTAGCTTCAAGCATAGTCCGCCTCATTAAATATTTATAATGGGATTTGAGAGGGATACATACACGAAAAGTCGATCCCATGTTTATTTCGGTCCACTCATCAATCCAGATTCTTCACACCAATCGATGCCATGTGTAGTTGTCAGTTCACGCATGATGCGACGATATTGTAGCGCACCATATCGTCCATGATAGGCGCCCATTCCTAAACTAGTTCCCATCTTCAAATTCAAGCTATTTGTACAGAATAAGAGTGTACGATAGCTGTCTCCATGGGACTAAACCAACCAAGATGACGACTTTGTTGAAGTAAATCCACAAAGGCTTGGTCCAACTCCGGAGTCACATCTGTCGTTGTTCAGCATTCTCTGTTGCTCTTGTTGTGTTCGTCCAGACATTGTCACTTTGGTGAGATTCCTGCCAACAGGTAAAAGTTTCAACGTAAGTGGTACCACCCTGAAAAAAGGCACATAAAAAGAAACTGAACATAGACTATAAATTCTAAAACTCCACATGAAAAAATTAAACCATACTTGAGATTGAAAAAACTGTTGAAAACTTCAAAGTTTTGAATAATTAAAATATAAAATTAAAAGCCGCATTTGACTTCATATATTGGTAATACATTAGGACATTACTCAAAATTTGTTCTATAATTCGTGTGCTTCTTACAAGTTGCTATCGTTTATTATGCTTACAGATGAAAAAAAACTTGCTTGTTTTGCTCCAGGAATCATATCATTGGGATCTACTGACTATGCTACAAAAGCTGTAAATCAGATTACATCTCATAGGAGAAAAATTATAACGCAGACGCCAAACCCTAAACCCTAAACCCTAAATCCTCAATACAAAAAACCCATCAAATAAAATTGGAATCAACATCTCAAATAGAGCATATAGAGCATAAAACCTAACCCTAAATCATTTTCATAATGAAACTGAAAGAGGACTTATACAATATAAATTGGGTTTGTTGAGGTATGTAGACCTACACTAGAAATTGAGGGGCACGTCGGGAAAAAAAAATATAATGTACGCCCGACAGAGTTTGCATAATTGGTTTGCAAGGGAAAGGAATAAGAAAAACAATCGCCCTTACCTGAAATCAAAACTATCGAGTATGATAACCTTGCCCCAGGTCAGCCGAGATCGCCCCAGGTTAGTCGAGATCGCGGCGGCACCGATAAAAGGCGAAGATCGCCACTTCCCTTCGATCGTTTCTTCTGGTCGCCGGGTTGAAAGGAGTGAAAGAAGAGAGGGTAGACGATGCGATGATTTGGGAGAAATGGAGGTAAAAAGGTAATGTTTAGTTTAATGAATAAGAAATAAAAAAAAAAAAAGAAATAAGTTTTTATGATTTGTTAAACAAAGGATAAGAAAAATCAAGAATAGTACTTTTTAATCCATAGCATAAAATTATCTTATCTGCCTGTGGAAGTAAACGAGCCGAAAGAGGACTATTGAAAACTCAAGTTGTTCCTCGTGAGAATGAGAAGACAAAATGAGATAATTGTTCCACCTTTTTATTCGAGCAAGTTTGCTCTCATTCGATTTTCTTGATTATGTTTGTGTTAGATAATACAAGAATATTTTATTATATATGATCACTTTAAAGTTTAAAGGGAGCAACTTTACACTTTCACATTACTTGAATTTCGTATCAACGGATTTTTCTGATGTGATGCAATAGTATCTCATTATCACAAGCTCCGTATAAGATGTTCAGATTTATTTATTTTTCTTCAAGTGGCTTAGATATGTTTACCAAATAATCATTCAACGAAGCATTATGCATTTGGTGTTTACCTATTGAATGTATTATTACTTAGGTTGTAAATGATTTTTATATAATTTATGTTATTACAATTGTACAACAAATCTCTTTCTCTCTCTCTCTATATATATATATATAGGGATTGGTTCCAATGCATCTGCTTATTTAAAGTGAGGACGTGAGACTCATTTCTAGCCACAAAATTTAGATCTTGATTTAAATAATAATTCTTTATTTTTATTATTTAATTCTTTATTTTTAATTATTTAAATATTATTATGACCATTGACCGTTGACTCCGGCGTTGACTTCTAGCGAGAATCGTTGACTTCCGGCGTTGACCGTGGACTTCTGGTGTTGACTCCGGCGTTGACCCATTCACCTTAGTATGCATCATGTATGAAGAATAATTAAAGACAATGCAACTAAAGATAAATAACCTTGCAACTACAGACAACTAATCTTGCAAACTGAATACAACTAAACATTACAAATAAAAACAACTAACCCTGCAACAAGATAGAACTAACTTTGCAACTACAGACAACTAACCTTGCAACTGGAGAAAACTAGCATTGCAATTAGACAGAACTAACCTTGCAACTCGACATAACTAACCTTGCAACTAAAGACAACTAACCTTGCAAACTGAATACAACTAAACATTGCAAATAAAAACAACTAACCCTGCAACATATTTACAATAACTTTGCAACATATTTACACTAACTTTGCCTCACCATATTTACTTCATACACAATACATATTATGGTCAACGGGTCAACGCCGGAGTCAATGCCGGAAGTCAACGGTCAATGCCGAAAGTCAACAATTTTCGTCATAAGTTAACGGTTAATGCCGGAGTCAACGGTCAACGCCGGAGTCAACTAATAATTATTTTTACTATTTAATTAATGTATATTTTAATTGATTAACATAAATCCTTGATCTAGACAAAATGAGTGGATAAGATTGAGTCTTACGTACTTATTTTAAAGAGTGGTCTCATTGGATCCACCCCCTCTCTATATATATGTATATAGAGAAGAGATCATATGAGAATGGTAGATAATGAAAGAAATAAGAATGATTATAGGCCACTGGATCGATACGATCTATGGGCATGATGAAGTCAAGATTAAATAACAATGGTCAATACATTAATGGCAAAATCGTAAATATATGAATATCCATGGATAAATGGGTTTAATGGGTTTAAACGAAAAAATAATTTAAATAACTTATTATGTTAAACGAAAAAAAATTAAAATAAAATATAAATAAAAACATTGTAGTTAAATAATAAATAATATAATAATTAAGTAAATCTATATATTTATAAAATATTTTAAAAAATATTAAATAGTATAAAAATAGTTAAAATAAATAAATACAAATCATATATATCTATTTAATAAAAAATATTTTATTTTTGAAATTATACTTTAATAATATATTATATATATAAGTATCATTTAATTTTATTACAAATTTAATTTAATTTAATTTATCATTTAATTTTATTACAAATTTAATTAATTAAATTAATTATTTAATTTTATTATAAATTATATTTACTATAATTTATACAGATTATATTACGTCAATTCATTAAAACATATATTGAAATTTTATACTACAATTTATTTACATTTATATTATTAATTATTAAAATGAAATTATCATTTTGTTTTTATATTAATAGTAATATATTTATTAAGAGTAAATCATATTAAAATTATTTGATAAATAATATTTTTTATTATATTATATTATATTAATTTCAATTCTTTATTTATTTAATTTATTATTTTTTTTTCCCAAAACGACAGATAATATTATAACTCAAAATGCACAAATGTGCGAATACACAGCAGCCAACAGCTGAAAAAAAGTGGGAGGACAGGTCAGAAGACCGCCTAGAGTCCCGACTAGCAACGCTAGAATAAAGCTCGCAACTAAAACTACCCAACTAAAAAAAAACTAAAACAACAAACAACAACTAAAAAGACCCCAGCGGAGTAATATCAGAGTGTCGGATCCCAGTGGGATAATGAAGTGACACCCGGCTACACAGAGGCCAAACGGCCCAGACCAAAAACATAAACCTAAAGAAGCGAAAACCTGAACCACAACCTAACAACAAAAAAAAACAATCCATAAACAAAAACAGAAAGAGACACAGCCTCCCTCGCCATGAACATTGAGAATGACGACAGACAAACCATCTCCAACAACAGCTCTCGAGCCCGAAAAACAACCGCCCGCCACTGCTTAAGGCCTAGCAAGACGGGTACCCGCACCCCTGAACTAGTCGAAGAGTTGGCCCGCACTCCAATCGCGTGAAGAAAACTACACGGCTCGGCTTCACCGAATCAGCCCGATTGAGATAGCAAACCATTCATCCCAAACCGAAACGACTGAAACACAAACGAACAGCCGAGCACAAACAGTAACCATGGCCCCCTCCTCGTGAACAACCGATTCCAACTCGCCCAGGAAGAACCGAGAGGTCCTTCCGATCACAGACAAATGAAAAATCGAGACAAAAGCAGCAAAAGAAAGGGCAAACCTCCAAACGCCGCTTCGCCGGCGGAAAGGCGCGGTCTTGATCGGCGGTGAGAAAGGCAGTCCGGAAGAATAGGTGGCGTCCCAACCAGAGCCAAGTGCAGCTAACCCAGCCTCGTCCATGAGCCCACACTGCACCCCAATCAATGCCGACGGCCCCTGAACTCCGGCGCGCGACCTGAACAGAGAATATATCTCCGATGGCCGACGAAATCCGACGCTCAGACAGAGCCCCGCTGCAGCAATTGAGACGAGGATTGTGCCTCCCATGGACGAGCGATGGAGGCCGTCCACCGTCGGACGCGAATTTCCGGCGAGGGAGCTTCAATTGGCGAGCTTACCGGCTAGGGTTTCGGGTTGATTTTTGGGAGCGAGAGAGAGATGTTGAGAGAGATTAAGAAATATTTTAATTTATTATTTCATAATAAGATATTTGATTCATTATTTATTTTACTTTATAATTTTTATACTTTATTATCCTATATAATTATTATTTTTATTTTTATTTAATTATTTTATTTTAATTTTATTTATTTATTAATTTCATTTTTGTATTTATTTTTCTCATTAAAAATTTATTTAATTATGACTTTATTTAATTTTATTTCACACTAATACATTAAATTTTATCTTACTTTATTTTAATTTAATTTTTTCATTATTTTAAGTTAATTTAATTTATTGAAAGTTATTAGTATTATTATTATTAATTATTTAATTTATAGTAAATTGGCATATTATCTTTTTATTTTATTTATTTACTTATTTTTAAGCTATTTAATTCATTTCAGTATGATGTATAGATATATTTATGTTCAATAAATTATACATCCATTCATATGGCCTAGTGGTTGAGCGACCATTCTCTTCCTTTCCAACCCAGGTTCAAATCTTGTTGCCCACATTTCATACTATTTAGGTTTTGCACATAATTCAAGGGTAAAACAGTAATTTCCGCCACTTTGGGGTGAAAAAATAAAGAAAAAGCCGCACAGCACGCGCGTGCACGCCACTTCCGTCATCTTAGACGGTTTAGGGTGTTTCGTGCATGCAAAACCTTAATAGAATGGGTCTGACGCAATTTTTAAAATACAGGCGGGAAACGCGCAGATTTAGTATAATACAAGGGGATTTGGTGTATTAAACCCATGGATAAATAAATACATCAGGGGACATTTAAGTAATTCACCATACACCAAATAAGTGGGACCTACATATATCTCATAAAGCCAGATCTCTCTCCCCTCTCTCTCTATCTTGGTCGTCATTATCTCTTTCTCTCTTCCCATCTCTATCTCTCTCTCTCTCTCTCTCACACACACACACCATCACATACAGGCGTCCAAATTGGCATTCCCGTCGTTGCAGGACTTGTGCATCAGCATCCCACTGTCGCCGGACTTCTACATCAGCATCCCTGCCGCTGCCGGACTGCTCATCATCCGTTCACAGCCGCCGGAATTCCTCATAAGCTCACAGCCGCAGAAATTCCTCATAAGTTTTTCAGTCGCTGCCGGTCTCGTCTCTGCCCCCTGAGTCCCTGACTGAATTAGCCTCTCCACCGCATTGTATTCTCTGCGTGGGGCTGAGCCGCGCAAGTTGGAAATCGGTCCAATCGCAGTAGCCTCGTCTTCACCGCCTCGACTTCTCCGCCGGCAGACTTCATCGGTAGCCTTCCCGCCGCACCGGACTTTCTCTCAGCCTTCCCGCCACTGGAGAACTTCCTCGTCAGCCTTCACGCTGCCGCCTGACTTACACCACACCACCGGCCCCATCAATGGCCACCGAGGATACCTCCGCCATTACTGCTTTCCACCGTCCCCATCGGAAGACAACACCAGATATTATTATGGTCCATGCCGAAAGTCGCCCCTCAACCGCCTCGTCTTCTCCGCGTGCGACGGCCCGCACAAGCCAGGAATTGATTCAAAATATGATTTGTGGAGTCTGTTTTGTAAATTAGATAAAAATAGGGTACTTAGGTGCAATGTTCGAAAAATATATAACAAGATAACATATTTTAACATTTCATTTAATGTTTAATATTTGTTTATAGTTTCTAGTGAAATACATATACATAAAATATAAATAATAATAATTATAATAAATAATAGTATTTTTTATGAAGTTCGGCCGTTCCATTATTTCGATTATCTAAATAAATAAATAAAAAATAAAAATTAATACTTTTACTATAGTTTGTTTTTTATTTCGGTTTATTTGAATAAAAAATGACATCATACCGAACTAACCGATATTTAAAAAATAATACTAACAATAATGATCGAACCAAAAATATAAAAAATTGAATCTCGTTCGATTTTGTGCAATCTGGTATACATTTACGTGCAATCTGTATAACTATAATGTGCAATCGCAATACATAAAAATACATATAGAAAAATATTACTAATTTTCATAAAAAAGTATAAATAAATAAAAAAATCGGTAATATTTATCATATAGTTCGGCATATTCGATTGTTTTGTTTATTTAAAAAAAATTAAATTCGTCCTTTAACCAAATAATACTAGTCAATTGATTAGCATAACTACTGTAATTTTGGTAATTTTGGTTGTAATTTTGGTAGGTGTAGCGTTTTGTTTAACACGGTGCAACATGTTGTATTATAAGGTGCAATATAATATTGTATAAAGTGCAACATACTAATACATTAAAAAATATAGATAAAACAATAGTATTGATTTTCATAAAAAATACAAATAAATAATAATAATAATATTGGTAATATTTTTCATATAATTCGTGATGTTCAGTTATTTATTTATTTGAAAAGACTAAGCTCGACATTTATTCAACGATTATTGTTTGATTGATTAGCAAAATTACTGAATTTTGAGTACGTGAATCATGTCGTTTTATACGGTGCAACATGTTGTGTTATAAAGTGCATCGTATTGTTGTATAAAGTGCAACCTATTGATATATAAAATACGAAACTGAAATTTTGATACGTTAGCATGCTTGTAATTTTTTGTGTATAGATGATGTGATGAATATTAAAGTATTATGTAGATCCATTTTTCTAAATTTATATTGCGTAATACTTTTAAGGGAAGGTTGACGTTAATTGTGCAGTGCGGTGATAATGTGCAAGATGTTGTTTTATAATGTGCAACGTCTTGTTTTATATGTGTAGCGTGTTGATATATAAAGTGCACTACTTTATATGATCACATATAAATTATATGTTTTTTGGAAAACTAGTTTTAGTAGATATAATTGTACATCAGACTAACCTTAGTAGTTTAAATAAGTTATTATTTATTACAATAAAATTATTATTATTATTTTAATGTTTTTTATATTTAAAAATTATATATTTAGTTCGTCTTTATGGTTATTTCGGTTTTAAAAAAAAAACTGACATCAAAACAAAATAATCGAGTTTCTTAAAAGTAAATCGAACCGAAATAAAGTGCAACGGGTTGTTTTATAAAGTGTAATGTGTTATTTTATAAAGTACAACGTGTTGTTTTATAAAGTGCAACGTGTTGTTTTATGAAGTGCACTACTTTATTCAATAGCAGCTAAATTATGTGTATTTGGAATCGAGTTGTAATAGATATAATTGTACATCGAATTAGCTTAAATAATTAAAAAAAATTGTTATTTATTATTATAAAAATATATTTAGAATATTAATATATTTTTATACTATTTTCTGGTTAAAAAAATATAATTTAAATTATAAAAATTACATTTTTATTGATTTTAAATATATATTTCATTTTGGTCGGCACGTAAGCTAAAATAAAATATCTCGAATTCAAAAAATTGCAATCTGACAAACGTTAATGTGCACGTTTTTCGGCCGCTATGTGCATTCTGTACGAACATTCGTCCCAACCAAATTGAAACCGAACATTAACGTGCATTTCAATTTTAAACTTTTTTGATAATGTGTATTTAATTAAAATTACTATGCCCTTATCAAATTATTTATGTAATAACAATATATTTAATATTTATAATTTTTATATTTAATATTTTATATTATTAATCTAATTAACATGACCGTGCATTTATTATGCTAAAGTGCAATTTCACTAACACAAAAGTGCAACCAGTCAATCAATAATGTGCAACATGTTCAATAATATAATAGTATTTTATCTTATTTGTATTTAATATTTTTTTATTATTTTATGTTTTTAAAAGATATATAAAAGTAGCATACTTTTATATACTTTTGTAAATTACAAAATTGACATAAGTGTTAAACTGAATATAAATAAATTTATTAAATTTACAATATTAGATTTACAAATTTTTAAAAATTATAAATTCAACCCATGAACTAAATTGTAATATATTGAAATTTATAAAAATTGCAATCAAGCCCTTATAAGATATCAAATTCTCAAAAACAAACCCCCCAATTTCAATCTCAAATCATCCCGTCACCTCAGCCCCCCAACCCCCTGTACTTGCCGCCAGTGACCTATTCTCCGATGGTGGACGACGGACGACGGACGACGGACGAACGGCGACCGCGACGGGAAGGAATGACGACCACGATGGTGAAGGTGGCGGGCCGGAGGCGTCTTCACCCTCTACACTTGCAGACAGCGGAGCTCTGCGGCGGAGGAAGGGACGGAGACATCACGGTCAGTTCCCGACGGAGTGAGGTCGACGGCGACTAGAGCTCCGGCGCCGGACCAGATGGCGGCATTTGGAGTTACAGTCGGCGGCGTCGAGCAAAACGGCGACGGAGAGATTGAAGTCGACGGCGGATGATGGAGGTTGACCTGTGGGATGGTGGTGCCGCGGCCGTCCTGTTCGTGCGTGTCTAATAGCGTGCTTCGGCGGCGGAGTTTAGGCGTGCTCTGGCGGCGGCGTTTAAGCATGCTCCGGCGGCGGAGTTTAAGCGTGCTCCGGCGACTGGCGGTGGCGTGCTGCGGCGGCAATGGCTGGGCAGTGGCGGCGGTCGGCGATGACTGGTAATGTGTGTGTGTGTATGTGTCGTATATATAGTGTGTGTAGTGTGTGTGTGTTGTGAATGTAAACTCTGTGTATGTATTGTGTGTGTATGTGTTTGCTGAAGTGTGTGTGCGTGTGCTGTGTGTGTGTGCGTGTGTTGTGTGTTGTGTGGTGTGTGTTTTATGTGTGCGTGGCGTGTGTTTGGTGTGTGTAGTGATGATGTGTCATGGACCCACTAATGAGTTGAATAAGTTGATGGTATTGGAAATGTCTAAAATACCCTTAATGAAGGTATAATTTTGGTTTTCTTTTAGCCATTAGATCATCTGATCTAATGGCTACGTTTTATTCTCATGAGAATGGTTCTCAGTGAAAGAAATGAGAATAAAACGGCCGTCCTGTGGGCTGGTCAAATGCGGCCAACTCTTAAAATGCGCTCAGCTCTTAAAATGCGGACAGCTCTTAGCAACTACAGAAACCTAACCTAGCAACTACAGAGAACTAACCTAGCTACTACTAACCTATCAACTACTAACTTACAACTACAGAGAACTAACTTAGCAACTACAAAGAACTAACCTACCAACTACAGAGAACTAACCTAGCAACTATAGAGAACTAACCTAGCAACTATAGAGAACTAACCTAGCAACTACAGAGAACTAACCTTACAACCTAAAAAAATGCTCTCACCTCTCTCTTGTTTTCTCTCTCTAGAATTCACCTCATCCACCCTCATCCTCATCGATCACCACCACTCCTCCTCGGCCACTAGCCCCGCCTAGCCATTCTCACCGGCCGTCGAGCCTTTTTCTTTTTCTTTTCTATTTCTATCCCCCTAACCTCGCTCGCAGTAATGGCTCCTCTACAGCTCCCATTACCGTCAATCCCGTCAAACCTCCTCCAAGCTTCGGACAGCATCTCGTCAGATTTTCTTAACCTGGTTCAGCTGCCGGAATTCCAACGATTTATTGCGGCTTTGTTGGGCAAATTTGCTCGTGTGGAAGAAGGGTTATTTTCACCCTCTGTGACCAAAAACCCGATTGTTTCCGTCGGAGACCTCTCAGAACTGCGGCCGGTAGGAATCCGATGGCCGGCAGCCTTTTGGACAGTGAAGTCGGATTTTCTCTCACCCAACCTTCACAACCTCATTTCTTGCAGAAGAGACAGGGAACCCTAACTCCCAGCTCGGCATTGTGGATCCTCATGTGGCCAATCAAGCTCCTGCCCAATCTGGGCCCAATCCTAGGCCCAAAGCTGCCCACTCCTTTGGTCCCCTCCTCTTTGGGCCTAAATCAACCAACTCCCTCTCAACCCATATCCATACTATCACACACCAAGTCCATGAAAAGGCTGCCACCTCCCAGCCTAATAGCATCGTGCCCACACCCCAGCCCGCTAAGCAATCTCAGCCCACCTCCCAACACAAAAAACCCACATCACAGCCCGCCACTTTCATCCCAAAATCCCTCTCTCACCATCACCAACAACGAGCTGCCACCAAGGTCCATCAGTCAGCCGTCGATCACCTCGCCTTCGCCGACGCCGTCGCCAGCGCCGGCACCGTCATGACAGTCGGAATTTCGCATCCAATCGGCTCTCCACCCGGGATGCCCACAGAAACGCCTACCACGGACGAAATCCTCGGACCCTGACCGAACTCACCTTTACCGTCCAACCAACTCGCCGGAGCTGCCGTGATTGCGGCCGGAAAAACTGATCCGGATGTCATGTATGTGCGAGAAGATGGTGTTGTGGTCACGGGCCCAAACACGACATCCACGGCACACTTTACCGGATCTTCTCTGATCGAGACAACGCCAAAGGGTGACTCCACGGCCAACCCCGCTGCAGCCGGGCATCTCCCGGGCACCTCCACTGGCCCGCTCTCCTTCCGGGAGGCCATTACGGGGAGGAAAGATGGCGGCACGGGCGGGCCACGCCCGACGGCCAAGGACTTCACCTTTGATGGGGGATACGAACATGCTTGCGGGACCATTATCCACTCGGAGGGAAACAAAGTGAACGCTTCATTCACTCAAGCTGAATCTGACGGCCTTGTTGGTAAGTTAGCTAACACCCTGGTTTTTAAGTTTATTTATGCTGTCCCTGCCCTCCGAGATATATCTGCCGGATTAGGTAAACTGG